CAAAAAAAAAAAACAAAACCCACGGAAAGCAAGGAACAGGAGAAGATCGCAGGTTAAAAGAGGTTCGACTCCGGGTCCAAACACCAGCCGGGGGCTGAAGACGCTCAGAAGGCAAATCCCAACAAATCCAGACACCTTGGCGCAACTGGGACACGAAAGCCACTGAATTTGGGAAGATGGTAGAGTTTCAAGAAGCTCCTTGACGCACAGACCCCCCCCGCCGCTTCCCCCAGGAGCTCAAGCTCTGCATCCAAAGAGAGCCAAGACACACCTCAAAACTCAACTGTGGGCACAACACAGGTGGAAAATGCACTGGAAAACTTTAGGCTGGAAAATCGGGAAGAGGGAGAGAGGAGCAGCAAAGTGAAAATGCCTCTGAGGCAGATCCTGCCTTCTTCCAAACCAGCTTTGGATCGGCAGTGCGACGGCGGCAAGATCCCGGGAAGGAGCTGGCAGGAAGGACAGGAGGTCAAGGGAAGAGGACTTGTGAGCAAGCAAGTGCAAGACGACAAGTGCAGCGTTGGATCCCAAAACGGAATCCCGAGGGATTCAAGGGGGGAGGAGGGGGAAGAGTGTGGCCATGTGCAAGGCTGGATCCCAGGGTGAGGCCGGATCCGGCGTGGGTAGAGGCGGCCGGCAAGGAGGGCGAGGGACAGCCGGTCAGGCACAGATTTTGATGCGGGTGCCCTTGGCCAAGATGCGAAAGAAGGGGAAGATGCGCTCGTGGAAGGAGGCATTGAAGGTGTGGATGTGGGTCATGCTCTCGGCATTGTAGAAGCAGAGTTGGCCCCGCTCGTAGTCCAGGTAGACACCGAAGCGCCGGGGCCGTTCGCTGGGTGACAGCGCCGTCTGCTCCGTGGCCGTCAATGCCTGGTACTTCTTCCCGTTGGTGCCCACACACCAAATTTCCCGTTTTTGGTGAGGACCCACTGTTTTCTCTTTACGACGAGCTGTTTCGCGGGCTGCGCCCACCGCCCAACCTCGTCGGCCTCCCACTTCCACCTCCCAGTAGTGACGACCGGTGGTGAAGCCCTGGGAACCCAGCACGCAATAATCCGAATCGAAACGTTTTGGGTTGTCCGGCAGATCCTGGCGGCGTTCGCCCAGCTTGACGCTGCGTCGGTCCAGGGAGAGGCTCAGGCGGGGGTGGGCTGTGTCGGGGTCCAGGGTGACATCAGCTGGAAGGGAGATGGGAATGTTAGGGGTTCATCGGTCACATCTGCCTCCCCGCAGATCCCAATCCCAAGATTTTTTCCCCCTCCTCTTAGTTTCCAACTCCAAATCCTCACCTGCTGCAGCACCAGTGGCTACTGTGACCGATAGCCCCCACTGTGGGTCTGTGCTGGTTTTGGCTGGGATAGAGTTAAACCTCTTGAAAGAAATTTGGGGGTTTAAACTCCTTTAACCCCCATAAATTTTCTTTCAACTCCCTTTAACTCCCAAATTTCTTTCAATTCCTTTAACCCTCCAAATTCTCTTTCAACCCTGGGATGGATCCCAGCCCAGCCCCGCACAGAACCATCAGCGACTCTGGATCCAGCTCTGCTTTTTGGGACAGGAAGAGCAGACAGCCATGTCAGGGGAGAATCCAGACCGAAAGACAGAGCAAGGCGCAGAGAGGAAGAAGATGCTGGTATTGTGGGGACCGGCAGAAAAAGGGGATGGAAATCTGTGAGGGCAGAGGGGGAACCCCAACACTGCTGGGGATACACAAGAGATCCCAGCCTGGGGAGGGTCCGTTCCCGAGGAACTCACCGAGAAGCTGCATCATCCCCCAGGGCAGAGGAACCAGGTCTCGCTCACCTTGAGGGACTTTACTGAAGACTTTCTCCATCTTCCTCATCACCACATCCTGCAGAAAGTAGTTGCGATATTTTTTCCCCACGTCCACCGGCACCATCTCGGGCTCCTGGAATTTGATGTTCTCGCATCTGCCAGGAAGGGGAAAGCGAAAAAAAGCATAAAAAATGGGGATTCAGCATGCTCAGAGGGGAGTAAAGGCACAACAGGAGAAACAAGATGCCCTGCGCACAGCCAAAAGCCCCAGAGCGGGGCAGAGATCGGCCAAACCGGTTACGCTGGGACAGCCGGCGGTCCCACCCTGTCTTGGCTGCAGGAGGCGGCCAAATCTCAGGCAGGGATGGAGCTGCATCCACCCAGCACCAGGGAGAGCTGGGCCATGCTCTAACACGGCCCCGTTACCTGCCGGTGAGCAGCTGGGGGCTGATTTAGATCCTCAAAAATCCCATTTATACCCCTCCAGGCCATCAGCCAGGAGTTCCCACCATCACATTTGTTTTGACGCCGGCCATAACCAAACTTTCCCTCGCGTTACCCAACCCCAGCCTGAAAAAGCACCCACCGCACAGGGTTTAAAAGAAAACCTCATGTTTCACATACACACACAAAAAGAGCTATTTACATTGAAAAGATGCCAATGGAAAGTCACTGACCTGATAAAAGTGCCTTTGATGTCCTGCAAAAAGAGGAGGCAGCGGGGAGAAAAAGGAAAAAAAGGTTAGGGAGGACTGAGGCCCACGTCACCGTGGCTCACACTAAATCCTCTTAGCGGCCACGGCTCAGCACCCCAATGGGCAGGATGAGTCCCCCTCCCGCAGTCAGGCAATGGGAATATCCCACCAAAAGACACCTGCCATGGATTCACCCCTAAGTAGAGGCTTTTCCCTCTAATACAGGCACCCCAGCAAAGCCCAAATCTCTTGGGGCATCCCATTTTTCCCTTCTGATCCCCCAGACGTTGTGGGGTCCCTGACAGGAGGGATGGGGAAGGATCTAGCCCACCAGGCAAGGGCTTCTCCCATGAAGACTCCTTCTGAAGGAAGGTCCAGTCCCCTCTTGGCAGCTCTGCTTAATTCTACTGCTAACGTTATCTGCTCACCATAAAGCGGGGCTAGAGTTCCTACAGCTCCGGCACTGAGCAAGGGTTCATGGTCCAGAGATCGACTACATGAATCACCTGAGTTTAAAGCACTTTGGGAAAGGTTCAAAAAACATCTGGGAGAGGCTCTGCCCTCCTCCTGGGATCCCTGAGCGTGACTTTCCCCTCTTCCCATCGCAGGGACAGAAAAAAAAAAAATAAAGACCTTGAGTAGTTGCAGCCCATCCTGTTTGCTCTTGTCCTCTGCCTCGGCGATGAGCCGGCTGAGGGCTGCGCTCTGCTCTTCCAGCTGGCTGATGTTGCTGCTCTGACGGGCCAACAGGGTCTCGTAGCGTTCCTCCAGCTGATGCAAGAGCAGGACCTGCTCTCCGATGAGGAACTGGTGCAGCACCTCAAAATCTGACTCGAATTCCTTGATCTCCAGCTTCATCTTGTCCTGCAGAGCGGGAAGGAGGGAGGAAAGGCAGCCTTAGCTCAAGTGGCAGACCCAAAGGACTCTCCTCTCTTTTCTCTCCCAGGCTACCAATTCCCACGACACATTCAGGCACAAAACCCCCTTAATTAAGCTCTAATTCAGCAGGGAAACAGCTTCCAGCCCTTGTGATCCCAACGATTGCAGCAAAGGGACTGCAACGCCTCCGTGAGAGCTGAAATCCGCAAGGCGGAGAGGGAAAAGCTTCCCTGCTCATCCCCCTCACCAGACTTTGGGCCAAGACACGCTCCCAGTGCTGGCATTTCAGCATCCTCCTTAGCTCAGGGCTCATTATTTTTTGGCAGGGTGAAAGGTGGAAGACAGAGAAATGGGAAATGAATGAAAGGAATCACACGCAGGATCACCCACTGTGCCAGGAGCAGCCAGCTCTTACCCTCAGCTCTGTGATTTTCTCCTCCTCGTTGGATTTCTGCTTCAGGACCACATCCAGCTTCTTCTTCAGCGGCTCCAGGTGGCTCTGTAGTTTGTTCTGAGAGAAAGAAACACATCTCAGATATCCCTCCTTCCATCCCTAACTCTGTGGCAGGGCTGAAAACAAAACCTCCTGCCCAGATTTCAGACCACTTCCACTTTCCGTAAGTGCTCATTCTAGGAGCTGCTTTTAATTAGCAAGTCAAAAATCCTGCCCCACTCAGATCGGGGAACATCCACAGACGCTGGATCTGTAGTCACCAAGCGCAGGCTGTTTGACGTGTGGCTCGAGCCATCGTGAATGCGTCCTGCTGGACTGGTGTCAGGACCCAGAGAGGGATCTGTGCTTCTAAACTCAGCACAAACCTAGGGCAGGCTTAGTCCATCCATTCAGGCTGTGCCTTTTGGTAGCAGCGTGGTCCTAGATCAGCTTAAGCCAAAACCAAACCCACTATCTACTTAATCAGGTGTGATTCCCTGCACTAAATAAGCTTTGGCATTTCCAAAAAAAAAATAAAACCAAAACCAACCCAAAACCCAACCCCTTCTGCCTTGCTGCCCTTCCAGGACACTCCCTCTGCCCTTTAGAAATTATTTTTCTCTGCTTCCTCAAGTATTTGCAGCATTTTTCCCACTGCAAAGAAAAGGGGAAAACGGACTGAGCCGACCCAAGATCAAACAGTGCTGCTGGCCACATTCTGACAACCTGCCACGAAACAGCCCGACGCAGGGACAGGACACCCTGTCATCATCTTTCCCTTCTCTCCAAACCTTCTCCCAGCTACCAACCCCCCCAAAAAATCTTTGGGGGCTCAAAGAGTTCCAACTCCAACAGGAGTTGCCAACACATCAGCCATGGCCAGATCTCCAGAGAGCTTCCGGTGAGGGAGGACGAGGTGAGAAGCAGCCACGTGTGGCAGCAACTCCTCCAAGATGCCTTTGGATATTAAAGAAACCAAAAAATCTGCTCCTTTCTTCCAAAAGACCCCAAAAAGCCAGACATGATCTCAAAGCCACAAGAGATGGGGTAAGCAGCAGCCTGAAGGGTTCAGTGACCATGGCCCCCTGTCCTCCTGCTGCGCTTCATTTCAGGGTCCCCGGTTGCATCCGAGTGGGAAGCAACAGCTTTGAGACAGGAAAGCTGGCCTGTTAAAGCCCCTGACAAAGGGTCTCTGCCGCTGGGGAGTCGGGGTCAGGCTCTGAAGACCCTCAGGTGGGTACCACCTGGGCTCAGGTGAGGTGCAGACCCACCGCAGCCCGGAGGGGTTTCACCCAAAACCAGCCCGCTGGGACCAGTTGAGCTCACCCGCTTCTTGGTGGGACAATTTCTCCCCAATCCAGTCAGCTTTGCCTTTGTTACTGTCACCGCCTGGTCCCCAAACCTCCTCCCTGTGGTTAACCAGACCCTCCCCATCCAAACCAACCCAGCCCAGCCACGGCTTCGTGGCTTCCCGGCCTCCTGCACCCCAACCCACTCAGCCCATTTGTGTCATGTCCTCCCCCCCTCCTCTCACCAAACCAGCCTGGCGAGACCCACCCGTACACCGCCTCCAACCCAACGCCGTCTGCCTGCCGCCAGCACGACCCAAAATGTGTTCTATCCTGCTCCTCCGTGGTTCGCCCCCCCCCCCAAAAACTCCAAACCACCCCGTTATCCCAACCTCGAAATCTTTGTACCTTATAATCCTGCACAACCTCCTCGAGAGGGACGACGCTGTGATGCTTGTGGCTCCGTGACTCCCTGCACACCACGCAGATGGCTTGTTCATCCACCTCGCAGAAGAGCTTGAGGGGTTCCTGGTGCTTCTCGCACAGATTTGGTGGCCCCTGACCTCCCACCGCTACCAGGACCCCCGGGACTCCCACAGCGGCTCCCGAGGGACCAGCGGCGGGCGGCGCAAGGCGCTGGGGGTGGGGGTGCAGCTGGCGGATGATTTGCACCATGTTGGCCAGCTGAAGGTTGGGTCGGAAATTCCTCTGGAAAAAGGTTTTTCGGCATTGTGGGCAGGTGAAGGTCTGGAGGCGTCGAGGCCGCGTGGCCAGGACAGGGGGAGGAGGTGTCTGCACCTCTTCTTCCTCTTCCTCCACCTCCTCCTCTTCCTCCACATCTTCCTCCATCACATCCTCATCATAGTCCTCGTCCCCAAAGTAAAGCTCTCCCCTGACCCCACCGTCCCACATGTCCTCCTCCACGGGATCTTCCCAGAGATCGGCATCATCCTCTTCCTCGCTCCACATGTCTTCTTCCTCCTCCTCTGCACCGCCCTCCTCCTCCTCCTCCTCCTGCTCTACGTACCAGCGCACCCCCCCCATCCTCCAGATCCTCCTCCAGCCCGTCGCCCATCCCCCCCGCTCCGCTGCCCACTGCCGTGGCCCCTGGGCCCACCTCGTACTCAGCCTCACCGCCCCACAGCTGCGAGATGCAGACGCGGCAGAAATTGTGCCCGCAACCGATGGAAACGGGGTCCACAAAATAGTCCAAGCAGATGGCACAAATGGCTTCCTCCTGCAGCGTCTCCACTGGATTCAGCCGCGCTGGAGCCCCCCGAAGGGACCCCATCTCCTAAAACTGCTGTGGCCGCCATGGGGAGGGAAGGCCGAGAGATTCTCCTCTTCCTCACAGGGCCCTGTTGACCCCCAGGTGTTCCCTATGCTGGGGTGGGCACCAGCTCGAACCCGGAAGGGTGGCCGGTCCCCACCCAGGTGCCACCGAGCCCTTGG